TCTCTCTCTCTCTCTCTCTCTCTCTCTCTCTCTCTCTCTCTCTCTCTCTCTCTTGTTTGGTCCATTGCTTGCAGGTTGTTTCAGTTAAAAATGAGTCCAGCATAGGTGGCATTTACATCGCATGATGCCCGCGGCTTTCCGTCTTGCAGCTGATGTGTCTCGCTCAGTTGGCAAGGCATCAGGTGATACTCTGTCTGTCTCTCTCTCCAGGGACAGCTTCTTTTCATCTCTGAAAGGTGAGATGTTTGGATGACCACCAGATTGCACTGGCCCCATCATTTGTGAGTGGCAGGGACAAACTCCTCCCGTTGCGAAAAGGCAATACAGGGAAGAACTACCCCCGTCTTGCGCCGTCAGCAAAAAGGTAGTTGCTCAAGTGTGCCACCAGTGAAAAACGATGGCCTGGTGTGGGTGGGATGCTCTCGCTCTCCTCAAGCAACTATGTGGGCGTCATGAGTGGGCTTTCTGCATACCGTTGTCGTCAGTTGGCCTCTTCCGCGTCGGCGGGCCATGCCGATGCCAATGTCGATGGGATGCTAATCGCCAGGCTATGGACTGATCCTCTCTGCATGTGAGTAAATAAAGGGTGAGTATTACGGAGTAAATAATGGATTACCATTTCACACATTGACAAGCGGACGAAGGGGTTCCACTCATAAAGTGCATTGACTTCGAAGAGCTTATATTCTAAGTGCGGAAAAAAAAAAGGTCGAAACCTTACACTCCGAAAAGCTAGCACATGATAGATAGCTAGCACGCGGCGTGGACGGAGAGACGCACGTGAGTTGGTCATCTTGGTAATGCTGTCTGCAAGCTATGTCGGCTCGAAAGCCGGAGCATGCGCCGGATGTAGAACTCCGACTATACCAGGATGGAGTTCTCATTGGCAGGGAGGTCTTACGCGTCATTCCTGTGTCGAAGATAGCCTTTCCAACTAGACCGAAGAAGAAGGCAAAGGCGAAGGTGAGTACAAGTAAGACATCAGCAGCAGGAGCACTGCTTGCCTGATGACTGAGTATCTGGTCACATATGTGTACACTGTACATAGCTGCTGCCACTTACAATGCTCACAGGCGACAAGGCTGACTAGGCATGCTCTGCTTACCAGCAAGCTGTCTGATGATAAATGGAGCATCCATGTGTAGATCATTGCATGCGATAAATGGAGCATCCATGTGTAGATCATTGCATGCGATATGTCTATGCCTCACGACCTCCATGAGACGATCCTTTACAGTACGTGTACTTTTGTTACATGTACTAATTGGCAACAGAACCAGGCTGCAGTACGCGTACTTTGTTAGGTGTATTTTTTTGTGGCGATAGAACGAGGGCTGTCAATTAGGAATATTGGGGTAGTTTATGACGGCAGTAGCATGCAGAGGAGAATGATGAATGAGCGATGAAGGGTTGGTCGAAGAAGTATCAAAAGCGGTGACAAATGGCAGGAAGTGGGGGATGTATAGGTGATTGGGGTTTTGATCCGTTGGGATTCTCCCCGCTTCTCCCTCCCCGCCGCCCCTCTCTTCTGCCTGCTGCAGCTCCTGCTATGGCATTTCAGGCCTCGCAGCATAGGCTATATTTTCCGCTTTTGGCTATGGGCTTGTTTGTATGCTGTGGTGGCACTGACATCACTGGCGGAAATGTGGGTACTCTCGAAGATTACGCTCGGCGGAAAAACGTGGTTGCTTTCCAGAAGTTTGTATGTTCACTGGAGGGGAGGGGAAAAGAAACGAGCGGGTGTAATTGACTTCCATGATTTTATCTCATAGACGGAATCGTTTAACGGTTTTTAACCCCGAAAAAGGAAAAAAAGATGGTTGCATGCGAGAGACTTGAGGTCATGTGGGTACTCTCCAAGATTACGCTCCGCGCACTGCGTTCATTCTTTGTGCTACGATGAAGGAGGGTGTGTGTGTGTGTATGTGTGTGTGTGTGTGTGTGTGTGTCTTCTCCAAGATTACGCTCGTTGGTTGTTGGCTTGCAGAGAGAGTCGTGTGGGTACTCTCCAAGATTACGCTCGGCACACTGCATTCGTTCTTTGTGCTACGATGGAGTGTGTGTGTGTGTGTGTGTGTGTGTGTGTGTGTGTGTGTGTGTGTGTGTGTGTGTGTGTG